GCACCGGTCACCCAAGCAGTGTACACTATACCCATTGGGTAGCCTTTTTTCCTTCACCCCTCTTCCCACAGTTCCCCCTGAGTCTCCAAAGTCCATTATATTATTCTTATGCCCCTGCATCCTCATAGGTTAGCTCCCACTTATAGATAAGTATATACAATATTTGATTTTCTATTCCTGAGTTACTTCACTTAGAATAATGGTCTCCTTCCAGGCGAGGTGGCTCATGCCTGTAATCCCAGCACTTTGGGAGGCTGAGATGGGCAGATCATGAGGTCAAGAGATTAAGACCATCCTGGCCAACATGGTGAAACCCTGTCTCTACTAAAAATACAAAAATTAGCTGGGTGTGGTGGCACACACCTGTAGTCCCAGATACTTAGGAGGCTGAGGCAGGAGAATGACTTGAACCCGGGAGGCGGAGGTTGCAGTGAGCTGAGATTGTGCCGCTGCACTCCAGCCTGGGTGACAGAGCAAGACATTGTTTAAAAAACAAAAAACAATAAAAAAAGGAATAATGGTCTCCAACTCCATCCAAGTTGCTGCAAATGACATTATTTTGTTCCTTTTTATGGCTGACTGGTATTCCGTGGTATACGTGTGTGTACATACAAATACATCAATATGCAGTAGAGGTGTCTGCAACTTAGAAATGGAGTTTACAGTTGAGTGTTATTTTGCAGAACAATGTAGAGTAAGTCTCATTCCTCGTTCATATAACAGACTTCAGTATATGAAACTTCCGCTGCCCTTGAATTTGTTTATTTTTCTCACAACTAAACATCCTCAGCATCTACTCATTTTCTTTTGGGGCCATTCTTCTTCTTCTTTTTTTTTTTTTTTGAAAATGGAGTAATAATTTACATAAAATGAAATATACAGATCTTAAAGGACAGTTGGATCAATTTTGATAAATGTATACACTTATGTACCTTCCCTAGCAAGACAAAAAACATTTCCATGACCATACAAAGTTCCCTCATGCTTCTTCCTAATTAATCTCCTCATCTCCATTCACCACCAGAAGCATTCATTAATCTGACTTCCACCATTACAGAATAATTTTATAAGATTACCCTTTTACTATCCTCGGTCCACAGCTCAACCCCTCCTCTTAACCCCTTACCTGGAATATACTCTAGTTTGTTAAAATCCTTCTTAAAACTGGTTATTTGCAATTTAATATGCTAATCCAAATGTAGTTTAAATGATTAAGAAACCGATATTATGTGAAAATGTCTGGGAATCCCACATATGGTTCTACTGACTCATGTGGAGTTGGAGATCAAGTAAAACTTCTATCTAAAAAGAAGTGTTATAAACTATTGCACTTTTGCATTTGTTATATATAGATCTCTCGTTCTCTCTCTCTACACACACACACGCGCGTGCACACACACACACACACACACACACAGACATATATATATATTTGAGTCAGGGTCTTGCTCTGTTACCCAGGCTGGGTATAGTGGTACAATCCTGGCTGACTGTGGCCTCGAACTCCTGGGCTCAAGCAATCCTCCTGCCTCAGCCTCCCAAGTAGCTGGGATAAAAGGTGTGTACCAACATGCTCAGCTAAGTTTTTTTTTTTTTTTTTTTTAAGAAATGGGGTCTTGCTATGTTGCCCAGGCTAATCTTGAGCTCCTGGGCTCAAGCTATCATCCTGCCTCTACTTCCCTAAGTCCTGGGATTACTGGCATAAGCCATGGTAGCTGGCCTGTAATATTTTCCTTTTGGACCTAAGTTTAGAATTTTACTTTTATGCTTGTTGACGTTAATCTTGTTAGCTTTGCTTGTTGTTTCAAAGTATTCAGTAATTTAAAATTTTTTAATTAATTTATTTTATTCTATTCCTTCTTCCTTTGTGTCACCTGCCAATTTGAAAATCACATCTTTTATATGATCATCAAAATATTGATGGAAATCTAGCACAGGATATAGCTAGGAAAAGAGTCCTAGAATACTGACCTAACTCTAATAACTTACAAAGTCGTGGGTTAACCTAATGCTGGGGGTGACCATGCCTAACCATTCTACTCTACAGCTTCTGCTTCTTCATCTTGTTCCTAATATTATTGATTATGTAATTTTAAGACATATCCTTCTGTTTGGATAACATTTTTTCCTCTGTCCATACTTACATCTTAAGTGATCACATTGAGTCCCTTGGCTTGAAATACACCAATATGCTGACAGGTCCAAATGTATTGCTCCAGCTTGGACCTCTCCCCCGAACTCAGATTTATAAACCAAAGTGCCTACATGACATTTTCAACTGGAATCTAACAGTCACCTCATCAAACAAACACATCTGTTTTTGTGCTGATATTAAAAGAACACCACAGACTGGGTAATTTATAAATAACAGAAATGTATTTCTCACAGTTCTGAAGACCGGGAAGTCCAAGATTAAGGCATTAGCAGGTTTGGTCTCTGGTGAGGGCTGCTCTTTCTTCCAAGATGATACCTTGTTGCTGCATCCTCCAGATGGGAGGAACACTGTGTCCTTACATAGTGGAAGACCAGGAGGGCAAGAGAGTTCTTCCTTCCCCTTGAGACCTTTTATAATGGTGCTAAACCCATTCATGAGGGTCGAGCCCTCAAGACTCAATCACTTCCCAAAAGGCTACACGTCTTCATGCTGTTGCATTAGGGATTGAGTTTCCACATGATTTTTAGGGAGGACACCGTTATCCAAACCATAGAAACATCTGAAAACAAAGAGTTGATTTCCAGCCCATCCAACCTACACTTACTTTAAAGTTTCCTATTTTGCAAATGATATCTTTGTTCTTCTTGTTCCTCAGATCTAAACCCTTGGAGTCATTTTTGGTCCTTTTCTGTTTCTTACCCTCTTCATGTAATCAAACAGGAAAAACTATGGGATTTTTGGGTTTGAATACACCCAATATTTGGCCACTTCTCAAAAACTCTGCTTCGATAACCCTGGGTCTGGTCACCATCATCTCTTCCACAGATGGTTATGATAACTTCCATTTGGCCTCCCTGCCTTCCACATTTGCTTCCTAAGGCCTTTTCTCCACACAGCAGGAAAGATCCTGTTCAAACTGGTCTTGAATAGGTCATTTTCCTCTCAAGAGCCTCAGTGTCTTTGCAACTCAGAGTATAATTTAAAGTCTATAGAAGGCTGGGCACAGTGGCTTATGCCTGTAATTCCAGCACTTTGGGAGGCTGATGGGGGGCAGACCACTTGAAGTCAGAAGTTCAAGACCAGCCTGGCCAACATCGTGAAACCCCGTCTCTACTAAAAGTACAAAAATTAGTTGGGTGTGGTGGTGCATGCCTGTAATCCCAACTACTTGGGAGGCTGAAGCAGGAGAATCATTTGAACCCGGAGGCAGAGGTTGCAGTGGGCTGGGATTGTGTCACTGTACTCCAGCCTCGACAACAGAGCAAGACTGTTTCTCTAACTAAATAAATAAATAAAGTCTATAGATCCTCCAAGGCCCTCCATTAACTGCCGCCTGCCTCAGCCTCCCTTTTTTTTTCTCATTCTTCCCTGACTGCTCTTGCTTTCACCACTGCCTTTGCTCCAGCCACTCTGGCTTCCTTGCAGTGTGTTTCCAGCTCAGGGCATCATGTCATCCATCCTCCTGTAATATTCCCTCCTGTCCTCATTCCTTTCTGTCCTCTTCCAATATCTGCATAGCTCACTCCCTTGCTTCTTGCCGTCCTCTGCTTGGGTGCTCAAATGCATTTAATCAGAGAGGCCTTTCCTGGCCAGTGCCACGCTCATCCTCCTTTACCTGTGACATGGCTGGGATCGGTGTCTCCACCAAATCCTTTGTCGAATTGCAATCCCCAATGTTGGACGTGGAGCCTGGTGGGAGGTGATTAAATCACAGGGGCGGATTTCCTATGAATGGTTTAGCATCATCCCCTTTGATACTGTCCTCATGATAGTGAGTGAGTTCTCATAATATCTGGTTGTTTAAAAGTGTGTGACACTGACCCCGCCTGCCTTGGTACTGCTCCTGCTCCTGCTGTATAAGATGCCTGCCCCTGCTTTGCCCTTTGCCATGAGTAAAAGCTCCCTGAAGCCTCCCCAGAGGCAGATGCCACCATGCTTCCTGTACAGCCTGCAGAACCATGACCAAATAAACATCTTTTCTTTATAATTTACCCGGTCTCAGGTATTTTTTTTAACAGCAATGCGAGAACAACCTATACAACCTGCTTAACTTTGTTCAAGGCGTTATCACCTCCACACATGTTATGTATTTATTTTTCATTCCCTTCTTCTGGAATTTAAGCTCCACTTGAGTAAGTATTTGTTTTCAACTGTTATATTCCCAGGGGCTAAAGTGGTGCCTGAAACATGGTGGGAATTTCATAAATACTTTTTGAATGAATTAATTGAATGGATAAGTCGGTGAATGCTATACCCAGAAGGAAATATTAGGTGAGAAAAATTTATATGTGACATAATGCATAAAAAGATTAGTAATACTTAAAACATTCAAAAAGTTAAAAATTTCTTTGTTATACTTTTTTTTCCTGAAACAAAAAGCTTCTAAATTAAAATTTGGCCATTTTAAGAGTCTAAATCCAACGTATTTGTAATAGAAGACATGATTAGGTATGATTCTCCGATTTCAGGCCATTACAGAGCTAAGCTGGAGCCTGATTTGTTGTGCATTGCCAAGGCACATTTATAGATGGGAGGTGATACATGTACTAGCAAAGACATAGAGCCATATAATTTAAATTATATTTAAATTAATGCAAGAAGAGTCTGAAGAACTCTTCTTTTTTGACACCAATTAGAAGAGAAAGAGGCTTTTAAAGAATAAGCCGTCTGCTGAAGAGAGACCTGTAATTTATTTGACTCTTTAATTCCACATACATTCTCTAGGTTATTTTGACTTTGTTAAAACATAAGGCAAAAAAACCCATAAATGCTGTATAAATCAAGAGCTTAGATTCCACAGAGAAATAGATACAGTGTCTTTCTATTAACTGTAAAAAGCACTTGCCTTGAACAAGTCGACTTTGCTGATGATGCTGAAGTTCACATCAATGGCGAGGGCTAACTGGACCGTAGTTGGCAGGGTCTTAAGCAAATCGGACTCATCTTTGTAAAGATAAATGCATCAAACCCCGATGCAGAATAATTAATGAAATAAGTTGCCAAGGTACAAGTAGAAAATTTTTAAAAATAAAGGAAACAAAATGCAAACACTTTTTATACATAATTATATGCATCAGATTCTATATTTTCATTACTTCTATTGGACCTCCATACCTATTACAATAACACTATTATGCTTATGCAAGAAAAGAAGTATTTTTAAGTCTGGATGATGTATTGAATGATTCCTGAACATTATGCTTGCTGAAACTTTAGATATGAAACATAATGACCATAGCACAAAGGCTAGTGAACAAGCTAGCATGGGCAAAGGATCTAATTCTTGTTTTCTGATTCTATTGATTCCAGCCTTAGCATTCAAGGGATGGCAAATAATAATGAGCACCATGTGGCATTGGAGAGCTTACAGAGCTCTGTCACACCCATTATCTTGTTTGACCCTTGTGACAACCCCAAGGGTAAGTGTTCTCATTCCTACTTTGCAGAAAGAAGAAAAACAAAAGAACTGAAGCCCCGAGAAACTGTAAGTGACTTGCTCCATTGTGCATAATTAATAGGTGGCTCAGCTGGGATGAAATCTAAAGAAAAAATGTGCTAAGAGAGTAAATTCAAATTATTGTTATTTACTTGCTTATTATCAATGAAGAATGTGAATACATTACAGATTTTTCTACATGTGAATTGAATGATGGGCTTTCAGGCTGATAAAATGTTCCATAAACAAAATTGCCTATTCTTTTTTTTCCCTTTCTTAAAATCTTGTATTTGAAGTTCAGGGGTTCATGTGCAAGTTTGTTATATAGGTAAACTCGTGTCATGGAGATTTGTTGTACAGATTATTTCGTCACCCAGGTATTAAGCTTAGTACCTATTCATTGTTTTTCCTGATCCTTTCCCTCCGCCCACCCTCCACCCTCCAGTAGGCCCAGGGTCTTTCTGTTCCCCTCCAGAAAATTCCCTGTTCTTAACGTTTAGAATGCCAAGAGTTTCTGAGAGTTGATTATTTTTTGATGTTTCCTTATATTATTTAGAAAAGAGAAGAATTGCTATATTACATCCCTATTTTGATTCAAATATAGATTCTAAACATAAAAATCCTTCACATATAAACAGCTTATTGTTTCCGAGGGCTGCCTCTCGTTACCTCCTAAGCCAAGGAGTTGAGTCATTATCTACCCTCGCTAAGGGGTGTGAGGGAAGGAGCCTGGCACCACTCCTTTTGTTGCTCTTTCTGCCCACTTCAGATGCCCTCAAGTAGCTGCAGATGTTCTAGAGAGAGGCATGTTGTTTTGGTCATGCAGGAAGAGATTCTAAACACGAGGCTGGAGTCTCCTAAGAGTGTTAGAAAGGTGAAGAAAAGATCCTACCATAATAACCAGTGGTTTCTGTCTACTCTTAGGAACCTTTGTGCTTTGAGAATTTCATTGTAATTTGCACTCTGGAGCATTTTTGGTTTCTTAGTGGCACTAATTCCTATTTTCATATGGTGAGAACAAACTAAAAGTTGAGTTTCATTATTGTCAACTAGCAGTGCATTAT